ATTGATATACCCCCTCATCTCAGGACCTATTCTGTTTTTCATGCGTCTAAGTTGCTACCTTATGTAGAAGGAGATGAATTCCCCCATAGACCATCTATGATACCGCCAGATATGGATGGTGGATATGAAGTGGACCGAATTATAGAACAAGGGTTCTTCTCTACAGGTGCACGAGGACGACCCCAGAAGCAATTCAAGGTTCGTTTTAAGAGTCATAACCCATCTGAGGACAGATGGTTTAGTAAAAGAGAACTCCTTGAATCTGCTCCTGATATTGTCTCTGCTTATGAACGTGGGTTGAAGTCTTAAATGTTTCTGCAATGGAACTCGAAATTTGGGTCGGCAGGAATGCAGTAACCCTGTTCAGCAGCAGACCGGGGCTCAGAACATTGCCCCCGGTAAGACACAGACTCAGTTGTCTGTGCTAGGCTATGTGACCGAGACATGCCCAGCCTGTGTCTGTCGAGGAGGCTGTGTGACTGAACGCAGCACAAAGGAAATTCAACAGTCAAAGTCAACTGTAGAGTCAAAGGTACCGCACCCAGGCCTATGGTTGGATACATTCACTTGTTGTGTGCAGGTACCCAGACAGCATTCAGGGCGGGTGGAATACAGTTTCTGGCCAATCTGGGCCCTCACTCATATCGAGATCTGGACGGTGCAGGACTTCAGCACCCGGGGTCCAGACCCCGCATCCACGCTATTTAAGAGTTGACTTCCTGGCTGGAGGGCATTCGGTCTTGCGTGAATGCTGACTTCACGCGTGGACTTTGGACGCTGTTGCTATGCTGCGACATTGCGACATTATCTTGACGCCGGCTCTATGCTGGCAGAGGAGGACGGCAAGGCGCTGCTGGCTGGCATGGTGCTGGCTGGCGATAGTCTTCTAGGCATGCTGACGTGGCAGCTGCCATGCGCCATTGCAGACGTGGCCGCTGCCACCTGTATATGTTGATGACGTGGCGGGCTACATGATTGATGAGGCTGTTCTGAATCTTCGTCACTTCGGAAGGGGATCAAGACTGTGGTTATCGAGGATACGTACCTGGTTGATGACGATACTCTCCATTTGCTGATGTAGACAGATTGACGTGCCACATGGTACCTTGAGGAAGAACTTCAGACATTGTATTCAGTCTATTGATTGATGAGGTGGCGAGGAGGAGGAGGAACCCGAAGTAGAAGTGGGCTGTTGTCTTCTTCTCTCTCCTTTGTCTATTCTCCCTCTCTCCTCCTTCGTCTGTGTATGATTCTCACCTCATTCTATTATCACACACATTTGCGATTGTTTGTCATTCATCAGCAGATCGATAATCATATGGACTGGTAATGTTGACGAGTATCATCACGTCTGGGCTCATTGCAACGCAGTCATAGTCTCCACTCCGTCCTTCATTCGTCATTCCTCGGCTCGCTGTACCCATACGCAGAACCTGTCCACCTACACCATTCCGCTTAGTGCAAACTCTGAATCAGCAAGAAACCGATATTCAAATTTTGAATTTTGTTGGCCCCCAGTCCCTTCATCATATTCCACCAGCCATTATGAGAACTCAATCGTCACTTCAGTCATGCCCACAGTCATAACGTGGGTCCTGCATGCATCAGGTCACACCCTGCTGATTCATTCAACCCAACCGAAATCAAGAACGTACGAGGCCTTGTTACATCCTTAACTTCAAGAACCCCAAACACTGCACGGACCAAACATGTCAGCATTTCAAGTGCATATCACTCTCGTGTATCTAGTCATACTTGCTACCTCATCCCTCCTCAAGAAATAACCTTCCCTTCGTTCGCTCTACGTACAAAAACTCAAACCCAAAACGGTAAGGGCTAACCACATCCATCTCCCGAATTCATAAGGTCCTTATCGGGACATGAACCACATTCACATCCATTCGCAAGAAAAT